ACTCAATATGGTTTTGTCATTACTCGATGTGGTTTCACCATTATTTAATGTGGTTGTGTCATTAGTCAATGTGGTTTTAACATTACTTGATGTGAGATGTGACTTAACGTTATGTAGTTGTTTCATTACATGATGTGGTTTTGTTATTTTGTAATGATGATTTGCCTATTCTTTAAATGGTTTTAACATTACGCAATGATGTTTCAAAATTTGACGATTTTACACTACATGATGTGTTTGTTTCATTATTTGATGTGGTTCTGTCATTCTTTGATGTGGTTATCCCATTACTTGATGAGGTAAAACCACGTGACCAATTCGGAAAAAAATATGTTCTATTTTTAAACAGATTTCAATGTATCGTTTGTTTAATGTGCTTTGGATGGGTATCGCTATCTATTGAGTTAAAGTTCAAATTAAAGTTCGAGTGGTTGTTCAGAGTTATTTGGTATGAAAAAGGGGAACGGCAGACAATAATAAGAAAAAAAGTATTAAAAAGTTTACAGTATTTCGGACATAGTTGGGATATCCCCAAACCACTTGGTCCTGTTGTTTTTATCCTAAGTTCTCAAACGGAAGCAGTATTTTTGTAATAAATTTGTAAAATATTCCACGGAACCCTGTGTCTCGCCTGATATTGCTGCTGTAAGTGTAAAAGCGTCATGTTGATCGGCTGTACATGTACATTTATCTATACATTTATCGGTAAAAAAAAAAATTAAAAAAAAAAATTTTTTTCTATAGATGCGTTTTCTTGAAATTGAGGAATAACTCCTATACAAGTTTTAAAACACTTCATGGAGGTTTACAAATTTATCATGTTAAAACAGTTTAATTCGGTTTTATTTAACTAAAACAAACTTGACTGTATGGTTTTCAACAATGAGCAAAACCCATACCCTATAGTAAGCTATAAAAGGTCCCGAAATGAAAAATGTACAAAACTAGAAACCTAACGATCTATAGATAGATAGATAGATAGATAGATAGATAGATACTTTATTCTCTAAAAACTAAATACAAGTTTACAGAGAAACATACAATATAAATACAGATACAATAGTCGAGGTAAACAAATACAGTATGATATTCTAAAAGTACAAAATTATGATGGCATACATGTTTAGTAACATTGTATAATGAAAGGTTAAACTCAATAGAAAAAAAAAAAAGGAGATGGAGACGCCGACGCCGACGCCACTATCGACGACGAAATATAGGTTTGTTGTGTCTCACTGCCGCTACATTGATGTCGCAGGCTCGACACAAATCAAAAGACTTGAACTTTATTGTTAACAAATGAAACACTTCAAATCAACTCACTCTAAAGTTACAGGGAAACGGGGGGAGGGGTGCTCGGACCAAGTCAAAATTTTTAAAAGTAAACCATTATAGGTCAAAGTACGGTCTTCAACACGGAGCCTTGGCTCACACCGAACAGTAAGCTATAAAGAGCCCCAAAAATTACTAGTGTAAAACCATTCAAACGGGAAAACCAACGGTCTAATCTTTATAAGCAACGAGAAACGAGAAACACTTATGAACCACATCAACAAACGACAACTACTGAACATCAAATTTCTGACTTAGGACAGGTGCAAACAATTGCAGCGGGTTTAAACGTTTTAATGGTACCAAACCTTCACCCTTATCTGAAACAATAGTGTAACATCACAACATAGAAAGACACACTATAAAATATCAATTGAAATGGCTTAACTCAATCAAAAGACATATTAACACCAGTGAACATACACTGAACAAATAAATTTGATCTATGATACAATGCAAATACTAAATAAATAAACTAAGGGAAGAATAATTAAAGTAACGTGTTATACCGCTGTGAAATGTTAAACAAACTAAGAAAAAACAATATGCTTGAACAAAAATATCAGCCATTTGCAATTACTTTAAACACAGGTAAATGAAAATAATTTTGTTGTTATAAGTATTTATTTGATACTGTACATATTTTAACATCTTATCCTATCTAGACGGAATATTTTGTGATATATATAAAGTTCCATATATATTCTGTGACTGTATCTTGCTTTAATTTGTAGGATCCTTTACAATAGATATTTCAGCTGATCTGTAACAATTCCATCTTCATGCCTTATATATCATGTACTGTATAACGACGCTAGATTAAAACTGACGAGGAAAGGTAACACCCGGGCACCGAAAGCTTTATTATTGTGAAGCCTAGTTGGCCGAGTGGTCTAGCGCGTCGGATTCAGTGCAGGCAATTTGGTGTCACGATATCTCAGTAGCATGAGTTCGAATCCCGGCAAGGGAAGAACCAAAAATTTGCGAAAGCAAATTTACAGATCTAACATTGTTGGGCTGATGTTTAGACGAGTTGTATATACAGAATGTACACAGCCATGATACAGTTTTAAAATTAAATAAACACGTTATCAGGCTTTCTAATATAAAACTATATTAACTTTTGTTCAATTATTCGATGTCGGACCAATGGGGCGTCGAACCAATGGGGTGTCGAACCAATGGGGCGTCGGACTAATGGGGTGTCGGACTAATGGGGTGTCGGAATATCGGGGCTGCCCCAATTTTTTTTACCAGTATTAAGGTATTTAGGTTAAAACAAAAATCGGAGACAAGCTCGTGCCTGTGCTACCACTACCAGAGACATGTAATACATATTACATGTCTCTGATACTACTGCACAAGACTGAAAATCATATTTGAGAGGTTTTTAATTGTTAATTTAATAGTTATTTTCTAAAATTATTAAATCTGCAAAAACAAAAGTATCCATTAACAACCCTTGAAGTATACCGATTTTCCTTTTTAGAAGACACCGGTGGAATTCCTGATGGGAGGCAGTCAACAAGAAAAACAATGGACATATTACAAAAAACAATGGACATATTACAATTAAGTAATCATTTGGCAGGGACTTTATATACTAACATATAGAAAGTGAATTAGTCCCTGCATCTGGTAACCATTTATTTCAGCTGCAAGGACCAAGATTTGGACATTCGAACTATACATGCAGGAATTAAACGCACTTGGATTTTTCTGAACCATTATAACAAGAGGCTAGCCTTATATTACACTTGATGAAAAGGGGCACACCAGCTTGTGAAATCTTAATATATTATTTGACATTTTTGGTTTTGTTTTTTTTTTTTTTGTCCTGCTGATCAATTTTGCCATTTACAATTTTAACTTAGCTCTTGTATTGTTTGAGATAACAGCCAAAAAGTGTGTAAATGGGAAGAAATTGGTCAAAGTCAAAGGACCACAACTCTCCACAAAATCATCAGACCAGGACAAAATTCGAACTTGATCTGTAACTTGTCATGATAAAACTATACATGCACTAAATATCAAATCAATGTCTTCAAGCATGAAGAAAAAAAGTGTGGAAAACTGATTTACCGGACTGACGGATGGACAGACAGACAGACAGACAGACAGACAGACAGACAGACAGACGGAGTGCAAACCTAAAGTCCCCATCGACTTCGACGGTAGGGAACTAATAAAAAACTTACCTTCAAAACTTTGTACGGTGTCCTATGAGCTTGATTACATTTAATATACTTTCTGGAATCAACTTGTACAAACACTGAATATAATCAGGCGTAATACTGACTCAAATACGGTGGATTTCTTGACCAAATCATTTTTAGATTTAATCACCCAGTATGTGTTTAAAGTTTTCTTTTAATAAATAACCAAATGTTTTCTATCACATTAAGGTCTGGATATTGTGCAGGCCAGCCCACACCGTAAATTTTGTTTCGGTCATAATGGCCAGATGAGCTAAAAGGAATAAGCTTTTTTGTATATCATCTGCCTAATATTTGAATGTTTTTAACTTTTAAAACACGTTTGATGCTTATCATTATAGTTAAAATAAATCATGATGTATTGCTTTGAATTTTGAGTATTGGAGAATATCTTATATTAATACAAAATGGAAGCCTCATTATGGTTTCAGTTTACAAAACTTATTTGGTAGCTGGAGGTAAGAAGACCCTGATAAATTAATAACATATCTGGTTGTTGCAGTTTTATAGCAAAAAATATTGTGACACTATACATTTTAATTTTTTCCTGTTGCTTCCTTAGCTTCTTTATCAGTGGCATAGCTGGTCATGAAGCTGAAAATTCTTGAAATTCTGTTAGCACTCTACTGTTTCATAATACTGTAGATTCATTTATTTTTGTGGGTACCAATTTTCGTGGATTGAGGAAATCTTACATTTTTGTGGATATTTGATTTTGTGGTTTTGTCAAAGTCTGTATACAAGCAAATGGAAAATATGTAATTTGCTGAACATTTAAATACCGACTATATCCACGAAAATTGGTATCCCATGAAAATTAATGAATCCACAGTACATAAAATGGAAAACAGGAATCACCAAACTAACACTTCTAACAGGCCACAACAACCATCAACACCAGATTCTATTGAGAGAGTAGGCATACAAACTAAGACAAACAATGAACAACAGATGGTATAGATAGACTGGTACCAGAATACAAAGTGGTGGAGTTAAACCAGTTTTACATGACTACAAACCTTACCATTTGTCTATTTTTGACCATGTTATTGAGGTAAGACACTCAAACCACCTGCACAGTGCAGCTACCAATCAGGATGACTACTAACTTGATCAAGGAAATAAAACGGACACTTGGTTACTTGGAAAACAGGTTCAGAATCCGAGATTGACATCTGGTATTGAGAACTGTCTCTCAACGAGAACCTCATGTAGACTGTAATTAACTTTTTATTTTTATTGAGTTGATGTCTCGGACACATATACCCTAAATCTTTTATATTCATTCCTATCAACTCCGTGGTGTTATAGAAGTTCAACTTTGATTCTTTACAAGAATTACTGTATTTACGCAGACTTCTGCAATTCTTTCAACCATTTTGAAGAAATGGAAATCTTTTAACTTTGTAGTAGTTGAATGGAACAAATACATCAATACAACTAACTAAAATCTACATCAAAATTATGTTTATTTCTCTGAAATATTAAATTTTGCTTTGTATTCACATACATTCTTACATAATTATGATAATTTTAATGGTAGAATTAATTACATATATATTAAACAATATATTTGAGATATTATTGCTTAAATGTATAACTTTCATTATTATGCATGAAATATTCAGTCAGAAATCAATTCATTCATGTAATACTAGCAGAAGACAAACAACATGGAATATCTAGTACAGAACTCAATATTTTAACAATGGTAAAACTATTTTCCATGTTTATTTGGGTCATTTTTCTAAAAGCTTCTTGTACGCAGTCTTTCCGACTTAGAAAATATTATAATAAAACGATATCATGTAACATGCATAACAGGGTCAAATAATTAAAATAAGTTCTAGCAATTATTGTCAATGTAAAATTAATTTTCTACCACATCAAAAAATGATAAAATATTCAATAAGTCATATTTAAGAAAGATATGAATAGAAGTAACTTTTAATGGGCTTTTTTTATTTATTTTTTTTATTGCAATACTATGTTTACTCCCTTCTAATTGAAATAATTTGGTAAAATTCATTATTCCTATCAAAACAGTTTTAATACTGAATGATACGGAAGTTAAGCTTATTCAACACTTTTAAGAGACATCCTTAAAGAGTGCATTTAACAGGATGAGAAAATCTATTTAAGGTCCATATGCTGGATATACCAAAACAGTAAAGAGGACGATAGCAAAGAAATAAAAGTTGTTAATTTAATTTTCTACAAATCGGTTTATCAAAAGTACCAAATTTTTCAACATTAATGATAAAAGTACAGGTAATTAGGCTTTCAGGCCAGCAATCAATACTCTGAAAACAATTTCTTATCAAAATGTTAAATAGAATACTGTTATGTGTTATTTTTTATATGTTTTATATGTTTCAGAGTTTAATGTGTTGTCCACTTTGCTGAACTAGAATACATTATTGCTTAGGGGTCAGCTGTCTGCGCTGAAGCCCGCTTCCGGGTGCAGGATTTTCTTGCTGCATTGAAGATCCATTAGTGGCCTTGGGCTGTTTTCTGCTCTTTGGTCAGGTTGTTGACTCTTTGACACTTTCCCCATGTCCATTCTCATTTCTATTAAACCTGTACATGTTCTGTGAGGTTTAATATGGCCAGGTCTTTTTTGTCTCTGATTTTGAACATCTTAACCAAAAAAAATACACAAGGTGATATAAATTAGTGAAAACTAATCCCCTCACCAAAATATTGCACATACAGTAGTCAGTAGTTATTGTTTTGATAGAACTTTATCTTCATAGACACTGTGAATAGGGTTACATGAAAGTCAACTGCATTATGAAAATATAAAGGTATCAACCATAGATTTCAAGACAAATATCTTTCAGCCCAATCTGCTATTTAAAGTGAGTTCTTAGTATAGTTAAAATAACTTGGACACTTTTATATTTCAACTAATTTGAACTTAAATACTTTTAAGTTTTCACATGGATTTCTTTGAACTGTTAGTTTTCAAACATCTACTGAAAAGCAAAAGCTTTAAAAAGGAATAAAAAAAACAATTCCAACATGAAACAATTACACATCAGATAAAAATCTCAAATCATAACAAACTGTTCTTCAAAATGAAGTAATGCATATAAATTTGGCCCCAAATGGTTTGACAAACCTTCTCCACATGTTGTAAATATTTATGGATTATGGGATACAAATAAAATGTATAACCACAACATCCTGAACATCTGTCTTGGCTATATTATAGGGTGTTATAATTTTTTTACATTTGCCTAACAGAATCTGAAAGGGAAGGTAAAATAAGTATTTAGACTCCTTACTGTAAACTAGTTAACAAATGCCACTGTCTTTTATATAACAATATTACAGGTGAGTAAAATTACTAACAAATCAACTACCTCATTAAGTATGCCAATCTGATTATAATCCGATGTTGTGATACGCTACGCTCCCTCTAACATCTGAACCAACTCAATATGGGGTCATGTGTGGAGAGTATCGTAGCGAAAAATAACAGCTGATTTTTATGAGATTGTAATTATGTTTTTTTGCCTATTGTTGTATACATTACGTTAAACACTACATGATGTACAGTAAAGGTATTATATTCTGTATAGGCCCTCATTAACATCATAAGAGCCAACAGTTTCCACAACCACAAAAATTGGGGTCCACAAATAAATGTATTTTAAGAGTAGCAAAATAACTGCTTCAATATGAAAGAATGCCTAAAAAACTATGTGCCTTATTTGTCTTCGAAATGATTGAAAAAAAGGTTTATACAAATAACAAGGAGATAAAGGTTTGAGAGATTTGAGATGCTATATGAAGTGATCATCAGTGATGTCCATATCTGTAAGCTGCCAGTCCTGCTGCCACCACAGCCGCCACTCCTCCACCTAACATTGCCCACTTCCACGACTTCTGAAACAAAAATATCTCATTAAAACTGATTAGAACTCATTACAGGAAAGACAGTAAAGTATGTAACCCAATTTTTAAGAATTCATTAAATTATGATTGTTTTTGTTCTTATATTTTGTTTATGCAAAAACAAGAATTAGACATTCACATTTACTGGTGGTTATGTGCATTGTGGACTTACACATTACAACATTTTGTTACTATTTATAAAAGGTTAAACACAAATCAACTTAAATCATAACCATGGTAAGTTCTTTTAACTATTTTCATTTCTCTGTTTTTTTAATTCTTGATCAGCTCTTGACAATTTATTTTGACCCTTGATCAATGTAATTTTTCATGCAATAAGAACAGTTATAAAATTTAAATCTGTAGCCTAAAAAGTAATAAAATGCTTCGCTGGGGCGCAGCTTGATACGACCGCAGAGGTCGAACCCTGAACAGTTGGGGCAAGTATGGACACAACATTCAAGCTTGATACAGCTCTGAATTTGGATTGTTATTAAATATTTGACACAGCATAGGTTTCTGACACAGAAAGAATGTGGTCTAAGAACTTGAATTTTTTTAATTTACCTATTATGGTCCAATGTCCAAAATCAAAATACATGGTTAGATTCAGCATATCAAAGAACCCCATATATTCAATTTTTGTTAAAATCAAACAAAGTTTAATTTTGGACCCCAACTTGGACAAACTTGAAAACTGGGCCCATAATCAAAAATCTAAACACATGTTTAGATTCAGCATATCAAAGAACCCCAAGAATTCAATTTTTGCTAAAATCAAACTAAGTTTAATTTTGGACCCTTTGGACCTTAATGTAGACCAATTTAAAAAACGGGACTTAAAATTAAAAATCTAAATACACGGTTTGATTTGGAATATCAAAGAACCCCAATAATTCAATTTTTGATGAAATCAAACAAAGTTTAATTTTGGACCCTTTTGACCTCAATATGAACCAATTTGATAGCTGGGCCCACAAATAAAAAATCTAAATTCATGGTTAGATTCAGCATATCAAAGAACCCCATATATTCAATTTTTGTTGAAATCAAAAAAAGTATAATTTTGGACCCCAACTTGGACCAACTTGAAAACTGGGCCCATAATCAAAAATCTAAACACATGTTTAGATTCAGCATATCAAAGAACCCCAAGAATTCAATTTTTGTTAAAATCAAACTAAGTTTAATTTTGGACCCTTTGGACCTCAATGAAGACCAATTTAAAAAACGGGACCCAAATTAAAAATCTAAAAACACGGTTAGATTTGGCATATCAAAGAACCCCAATAATTCAATTTTCGATGAAATCAAACAAAGTTTAATTTTGGACCCTTTTGACCTCAATATGAACCAATTTGATAGCGGGGCCTACAAATAAAAAATCTAAATACATGGTTAGATTCAGCATATCAAAGAACCTCATATATTCAATTTTTGTTGAAATCAAACAAAGTTTAATTTTGGACCCCAATTTGGACCAACTTGAAAACTGGGCCCATAATCAAAAATCTAAATACATGTTTAGATTCAGCATATCAAAGAACCCCATATATTCAATTTTTGTTGAAATCAAACAAAGTTTAAATACTGGACCCTATCTTGGACCAACTTGAAAACTGGGCCCATAATCAAAAATCTAAACACATGTTTAGATTCAGCATATCAAAGAACCCCAAGAATTCAATTTTTGCTAAAATCAAACTAAGTTTAATTTTGGACCCTTTGGACCTTAATGTAGACCAATTTAAAAAACGGGACTTAAAATTAAAAATCTAAATAAACGGTTAGATTTGGAATATCAAAGAACCCCAATAATTCAATTTTAGATGAAATCAAACAAAGTTTAATTTTGGACCCTTTTGACCTCAATATGAACCAATTAGATAACGGGGTCCACAAATAAAAAATCTAAATACATGGTAAGATTCAGCATATCAAAGAACCCCATATATTCAATTTTTGTTGAAATCAAACAAAGTTTAATTTTGGACCCCAATTTGGACCAACTTGAAAACTGGGCCAAAAATCAAAAATCTAAATACATGTTTAGATTCAGCATATCAAAGAACCTCATATATTCAATTTTTGCTAAAATCAAACAAAGTTTAATTTTGGACCCTTTGGACATTAAAGTAGACCAATTTGAAAACTGGACCCAAAATTAAAAATCTAAATACACTGTTAGATTCGGCATAACAAATAAATAAATGTGATCAAAGATTTTACAAATCTAATGCGCCATACTGTGCAATTAAAGATTACTTCTTGAAATTTTTCAATATTTGAAATTTGAAAAAAAAATAATATTTGAAGAATAATTCTTTTTAATTTCTGAAATCTGAAATGAGAAAAAATTGGCCCCCCACAATTTCTTTTTATCCCCCCCCCCACCTTTTTCCCCCAAAAAAATTCTTTCCCTCAAGATATGGTCATAATCTCAATTCAAATTTCCAATGGAGTTGGCAACCATAATTACCCATTTAAATTTACCATAGTGCTAACTTAATCTATTTTATAATAGAATTAATAAAAATATAGTGTCAAATCTTTCATATGGATTTTTTTGTAAAAAAAAAAGATGAAAACATTTGCAGATATTTTTACTGGTCTTCCTTTATAAATATGCATTTCTTTAAACATAATTTAAAAGCAGTGTAAGGGAAGTAACCAAAACGTTGTATTTGGATTACCTCCCTTACACTGTTTTAGATTATCTTTATTGTTCATTAACCATTACTTTATACATAATTTAAAAGCAGTGTAAGGGAGATAATTTCAATGATGTATTTGATTTATCTCCCTTACACTGCTTTAAATTATGTTTTGTACTAAAGTATTTGTCCATTAACCAGGACAACCTTGTTTTTCCCCCTTTTTTGCCCCTAATTCCTAAACGGTTTGAGCCATAACCCCCCAAAGCAAATCCTAACCATCCCTTTGTGGTATGGAAACTTGTAGTATAATTTCAGAGAGATCCATACACCGTTCCACAGTTATTGTCTGGAAACTAGAAAATGCTCATTTTTGGCCCCTTTTTGGCCCCTAATTCCTTAACTGTTGGTACCATAACCCCCAAAATCAATCCCAACCTTCCTTTTGTGGTATTTAACCTTATGGTCAAATTTCAAAAAGATCCATTCACTTAAACTAAAGTTAGAGTGCAAAAAACCAATATGTATTCGGACGACGACGCCGGACGACGACGACGACGACGACGACGACGCCAACGTCATACCAATATACGACCACAAAATTTTTTTGCGGTCGTATAAAAATTTATCACCTTTAGTTAACAATCGTATTGTAGTCTTTATTTCTAAACCAAGACGACCCAATGTATTATATTTTGAAAAATAGAAATCCCTTGGCCAATAGCCACGACATACACTATAAAATGAATAATAGCTATATACAAACCTGATTAGTGGTTGTTGTTGCTGCAGCTGCTGTTGTTGTTTTAGTCCCCATCATCTTTTTATACATATCTTTCTCTAATTCTGTTTCTTTGCTGATTTTCTGAGATAATTTCTTGATTTCTTGCTTAATAACCTACAAAAATATCTTAAAGTTATTTTAAAATGTCCTTGTTTATGAATAAAATAAATAAAACTACTTTCTTCATAAACATGTCTCAATGCATTTAGCTGATCTACAACTAATCTGAAAAAATATAACACCTCCCTTTTTTTTTTATTATCAAGGCTATATTTTTTTTGGTTAAAAACTTTTATATAACAATACTCAATTGATTTTACAAACTGAATACTTGTGGCTAACAACCAATCCTCAAAACATGTAATTCTCTTTTGACATTACCATGGAAACATTAGTTTAAAAGGAAACAATCTCTTTCTTTTTTCTTTTTTTTTCTAAAATATTAAAATGGAAATAAATGGAGAATGTGTTCCCATGGACAGATAATGCCCCTGCTTGCATACAACATTATAAAGGGATATAACTTAAGAACGATAAAAGTGATGCTACCCAAATTTGTATTTGATCTGAGTTTTGTGGTAATAAGTATTGTGTATAGGTTTCATAATGTTTGGTTGGGGCAAACTTAAGTTATTTTTTTCAATTAATAAAGGGGCATAACTCGATAATGGTTAAAGTGACGCCACCAAAATTTAACTTGATCTATGTTTTGTGGTAATAAGCATTGTGTATAGTTTCATAACAATGGGTTGAGGCAACTTAAGTTAGAGAACAGAAAGTAAAAATTTTGCATTTTTTTCCATTTATAAAGGGGCATAACACGAGAATGGTTAAAGTGACCCCACCAAAATTCAAACTTGATCTGTATTTTGTGGTAATAAGTATTGTATATAAGTTTCATAACATTTGGTTGAGGCAAACTTAAGTTAGAGAACGGAAACAAAATTTTTGTAATTTTTCCATTTATATAAGGGGCAGAACTCTAGATAGGTTAGAGTGACACTATCAAAATTCAAACTTGATCTGTATTTTGTGGAAATAAGCATTGTGCATAAGTTGCATAACATTTGGTCGAGGCAAACTTAAGGTAGAGAACGGAAACTAAATTTTTTTCCATTTTTCCATTTATAAAGGGGCATAACTCTAGAACGGTTAAAGTGAGGCCACCAAAATTCAAACTTGACCTGTGTTTTGTGGTAATTAGCATTGTGTATAAGTTTCATAACATTTGGTTGAGGCAAACTCAAGTTAGAGAAAGGAAACTAATTTTGGGACGGACTGACGTAGGTACAGACGGACAAGGGTAAAACTTAATGCCCCCTCCGCTATGGCGGGGGCATAAAAACCATATCTTAAATTCATCAAGAAAGTAATTTTACATAGACATGACAAAAAATGTATGAATATTCCGGCATCAATTTAACAAATAAAAATAACCAACTCATATATGGTTTAGGAATATACAATAATGATAGTGAACTATGTAAATGTTTATCTTTCCTTTAATACATCATCAGCAAATATTAACAAAACCCTTTATTTCTTATGTACAGTACAATCCTACGATATTTTCCTATGCATTGATAAAAGATTGTGCAGATAGGTAGGAGTTTCTTACCTTAGAATCTGGCTCCAGTCTAAAGGCTTTCTGTAAGTACTGAATCCCTTCTTTTGTATTACCTTTTGCTGTATGAGCCTGAAATGAAAATACATGTAATTAATTTTTTTGCACATAATTTGACACTCCTACTTTCCTAATGTTGTTTTTGTTATTATGTAATGTGATTTTTTTTTTGTATCATAAATTAATAAATTTTCTATTTTGGTTAATGTAAATTCAGAAATTAATGCATGCATTAATCAAATTACTGATTACTAGTAAACTAGAAAATGTAAGATCTAATTAATGGGATTCCAAGGATTTTGTAAAGGAAAATCACTAATGAAATTATGAATGCAAGTTTTTATTATTGCGAAACTGATACTGTTACGTTTTTCGCATTAATCAAAACATTGCAATAATTCCTGAATTTACAGTAATTGATAAACAAACTGTTGGCACAGAGATATGTCTCACCTGTCAGCATAAAATTCAGAAAAAGACAATCTGATGGACAACAACTTTAATTCAAAGTCCATGGACCCAACTTTAATTCAAAGTCACTGGACCATGATCTAGTGGGCTGGGCCTCGAAATGGTCAATAAACTGAGATGTACAGACAATAATGTAACATAAAATGTAAAATATCGTAGTCAATTGTAAGTAGTTCCTATCAATCTAACTTAAGCAGAAAACTTAACATTGAAAATTGCTAATTAATTCAAGGTCACTGGACCATGTCCTAGGGTGCAGGGCCTAAAAATTGTTGTCAAACTGATATGTACTGATGGTAATGCAACCTGATACAAAATATCATTGATCCATCACAAGTAGTTTTCATCAAACTGACTTAAGCAGAAAACATAACATTGAAAATTGCTAATTAATTCAAAGTCACTGGACCTTGACCTAGGCAACAGGGCCTTAAAATAGTTGTCAAACTGATATGTACTGATAATAATGCAACTTTACATTAAATATCAATGATTTATCACAAGTAGTTCCAATCAAACTAACTTAAGCAGAAAACTTAAGAATTGTTGATGCCAACATCGTCATCGTCCTCACCAGAAAAGCCAATCCCTATGTCTATTTTTCGGCGAGACAAAAAAAACTAATCCAAGAATTAGAATGTTGTAAAATCTTCAATAATTGCCTAAAAAACCCATTGATTTATGAATGACAACAGGTCATGAGTGAATTATCAATGTTGTTGTGTCACTAGTGGGAAGTTTTATATTTTGAATTCTTGGATTAATTTTCATTTTGTTATATTGACATTTAATGTAAAACATTGAAAATGCAAAGAAGTACATCTTTAGATACGTTTTTACATTGTCCTGATGCATCTTCTCTGACAATGTGTTGACATAAATTTTCTCTAATTTTCATGCTATTTTCACATTTCTCGATCGGTGTGAGAAAAGTATCTCATCTCTAGAGTAAACTTTGTTCTCAGCAAATGATTGGTCCAAATTCAATTATTACTTCAAATTTTCTTGATCTCTACTGAATTTTCTATTTGTGATGTCACGAAAAAAGGCGCCCATGCCTATGCCGCCACAAGAACACCACTTTCTGCAAATCTTTGAGAAGGAAGGATAAACTTTGTTTAGATATCGTCTTAAAATCATTATAGAGAAACAGATTCCACCACTATAACATGTGTATTACAATATTTCTCCACTCTCAACAGTTAAATTTTAAATATTCAAAAAGCACGGCAAGCCTTGCGTTTTAAATTTTAAAATTGAACTGTCTCGAGTGGTGAAATACGGTAACACATATTATGCAGTGGTGGAATCTATATGTTAAATAAATGAACTTGTGGTATACTTTTGTCTTTAGCTATATCTTAATGGGCTATTTGTCCTGTTGGAAATTTGGAGTTGATGGCAGATCTTCGATAGTTTCTGTTTAATTTATTTATAGATTGTCTAGATCAGGGGGAATTTAGACCTTAACATATCATAGAGACAATTGTTTATTGGTGAAGACCAAATGTGTACATCTAGATGCCATTTAGGTCTTTTTATTATTGGGTGACTTTTTGATGTAGAACCTGCATCTCCTTTTATTCATATTACATCCATGACTTTAAAAATTGGTAAAACATTTTTTAAAATAACATTTGTTATGACTTGGAAATGAATTCTGATTACCTTTCCAAGTCTGAAGAGAGCTTTAACATTTTGCGGCTGTAAATCTAACACTGACTGACAGGATTTTATAGCTGCATCATAAGCTTCTACCTACAAAAAAAATGGAATCAGAACCAATGACTTCATAGGATAAATCACCAGGGAAATACAGACAACAAAATTAAACTGTGTCAAGTCATACAATTTAATACAAAATATATAAAAATGTTAACAAGATACAAACTAAAGGCTCTTTTAAATGAAATAGCCTGTGTTGCTCACCTGGATCTATGTGAGCTTGAACAATGGTCATTCTCAAAACTTAAAAGATAAATTCTCTATTTTGTTGATCTTGTATTGCTGATCATTCTTGCTGTATACAGTTTTTTTTTCTTTATCTACTCTAGTTTTGTCATAAATGCAAAAAATAAATGGGCAAAAATGTCATTAAAGGGCAATACCTCCTAATAAAATCGACTGACAATTTTAGCTATGTTGACCTATTTGTAGATCTTGTCTTGCTGTTTGCAGTTTCTCTCTATCTACTATATTTTTTCCCAAAATGCAAAAAATGAGTAAAAATCAGCATTTAATTGCAATAACTCCATTAGGAGTTGTTTGACAATTTTGGATAATAGACAATACTTGCATTTTACACCTAATTCTTTTTTTTTTTTTGCAATTGCAGCCATGTTTGTTGGCAGGAATGATCATCAGGCATAATTTTTAAACTACATGTCATTACTATTACCACATTAAGTTAATGTTTATTGTGTGTAATTAACACACTTTTTTCATAATCTGGAATTACTTATGCTCTTTACCCCTGTATAAATTGGGTAGATTTCCAAATTAATTAAAAATCTCACAAAGAAAATTCTATTTTTGATACAAAATATATTTCCCCCTTGTTCTGTCCTCTCTAAGGTACTCATACAGTATAAAATATATTTTATCTACAAAATACTTAAAAATGCAAAACTGCTCATGTTATCAAGTCATTCTATTAAGTATATTAAATTTTGTTTCATTTCAATGTAAACTGTACGAAACTTTTACATTGAAAAACATCTTTAAAAATATATTTTGCCAAATCTATGTTTGATGTTGGTTACCTACAAAATCAACATGATAAAAATAAAATTGAAGATTCATAACTAAATGCACTATGAAGAAATTCTGTCAAGCTTTGTTCCATTTCAATGTATACTGTAAGAGATCACAAACCAGTATATTAAGGTCATCTTGTCTCTTCTGCAAAAAATCAAATTCTGTCAAAACGAGAAATGATAGAGTGAAGACAGCAGTACAGGTAGATAGCAAAGGGCTATGTATTTTTCTTGACCACACAGGCTAGCTTTTCAAATATGTCATCATGGGAAATTTATCTTCTACATCATGGACAGAATGTTAAATGTTACCTTAAGTTGGCAAGCTGTCATATCATTACAACACTTTAGTCTACAGTTTGATAGGTCTTGGAGTTTTGTAGGGGTTCTTTGTAATGTTAAATGTTACCTTAAGTTGGCAAGCAGCCATATTATTACAACACTTTAGTCTACAGTCTGCTAGGTCTTGCAGTTTTGCAGGGGTTCCTTGTAATGAACCGGATTCTAAAATCTTTATTGCCCTGTTATAAAAAATCAAAACTCTTCATTAAAACTAAGAATTTTATGGTATCTATTTGGGCTCTTTTTTGTAGCTTTTGTTTTCCTTATGAATAATATCAATTCAATTTAAGATCATATTTGTTTGTTTGTTTTTAAACTTTAACTAGTTTAAACTGTAACTGACATGTTAAAAAAATTATGAAAATCATAATAATAATTTATATAATTCATTTTACAAATGTACCTATTTTCATTGACAACGGACTATATTGTTTACATAATGTACACTTTAACTTACTTATTGTATGAATTAATTGCTCCTGCATAATCATTTCTTCCAAAAACCTCATTGCCTCGTTCTCTTTTCTTTTCCCTTAAGGAAAAAATAATTCGCCTTATATATCAATACTGGCATCCATATTGTTAGTAACATATATTTTTGGACATTACATCAACAAATAAAAGATTCTTTTAACAAGAGGCTCTCAAGAGCCTGAATCGCTCACCTGTATATCTCAGAGGAGAAGATTTTTAAATGTTAGCAAACTTGATGAACAAATTGTATAAAATTGTCTTTAAAGGGCAATAACTCCTTAAGGGGTCAATTGACAATTTTGGTCATATAACTTTTTTGTAGATCTTACTTTGCTGAACATTATTGCTGCTTACAGTTTATATATATCAATGATAATATTCAAAATAATAACAAAAAACTGCAAAATTTTGTTAAAACTACCAATTCGGTGGCAGCAACCCAACAATGGGTTGTTCGATTCGTCTGATAATTTCAGGGCCGTTAGATCTTGACCAATTAAACAATTTTACAACTGTCACATTTGCTCTAGAAGATGTAGTTTTTGAGATATAAGCCAAAAACTGCATTTGACCCTTATGTTCTATTTTTAGCCATGGCGGCCATGTTTGTCGATGGATACAAACTTCAGATATAATTTATAAACAAGATACCCTAAGGAACATTTATTTAAAGTTTGAAGGTAATTGGCCTAGTAGTTTCAGAGGAGAAGATTTTTAAATGTTAGCAAACTTGATGAACAAATTGTGTAAAATTGTCTTTAAAGGGCAATAACTCCTTAAGGGGTTAATTGACAATTATGGTCATATTAACTTTTTTGTAGATCTTACTTTGCTGAACATAATTGCTGCTTACAGTTTATATATATCTATGATGATATTCAAAATAATAACAAAAAACTGCAAAATTTTGTTAAAACTACCAATTCGGTGGCAGCAACCCAACAATAGGTTGTTCGATTTGTCTGAAAATTTCAGGGGCGATAGATCTTGACCAATTAAACAATTTTACAACTGTCACATTTGCTCTAAAAGATGTAGTTTTTGAGATATAAGCCAAAAACTGCATTTGACCCTTATGTTCTATTTTTAGCCATGGCGGCCATGTTTGTTGATGGATACAAACTTCGGATACAATTTATAAACAAGATACCCTAAGGAACATTTAATTAAAGTTTGAAGGTAATTGGCCCAGTAGTTTCAGAGGAGAAGATTTTTAAATGTCAGCAAAATTAAACAAATTGTGTAAAATTGTTTTTAAAGGGCAATAACTCCTTAAGGGGTTAATTGACAATTATGGTCATAATAACTTTTTTGTAGATCTTACTTTGCCGAACATTATTGCTGCTTACAGTTTATATATATCTATAATAATATTCAAAATAATAACAAAAAACTGCAAAATTTTGTTAAAACTACCAATTCGGTGGCAGCAACCCAACAATGGGTTGTTAGATTCATCTGAAAATTTCAGAGCTGATAGATCTTGACCAATGAAACAATTTTACCCCTGTCAGATTTGCTCTAAAAGCTTTAGTTTTTGAGATATAAGCCAAAAACTGCATTTGACCCCTATGTTCTATTTTTAGCCATGGCGGCCATGTTTGTCGATGGATCAAAACTTCGGATACAACTTATAAACTAGATACCCTAGGGAACATTTAGTTAAAGTTTGAAGGTATTTGGCCCAGTAGTTTCAGAGGAGAAGATTTTTGAAATAGTTTACGACGACAGATGACGACGACAGACGACGGACGACGACGGACGCCAAGTGATGGTATAAGCTCACATGGGGCCCTTCGGGCCCTGGTGAGCTAAAAATGATGATGAAATATTTCTTTCTATGCTAAAAACTTTCGAAAATTTTTATTTGTAACTTAATTAAAAATATCGAATATATCTTTGTAATCTTACATAGCAGAATACATAGTTAGCTTCTTTCATCATTTTTACATATAAAAGAATATCATAACAACATGAGTACAATTTATGAATGAAAACATTTGATTAACCCAGATAAAAAAAACACTTACGCCATATCAAGTCTCTCATCCACATCCAATTTATTAATATCAGGAGCTTCTTCCTTCTTTTTTAATTTAATCATGTATGTAATTGTAGCATTTGGAGGAATGTCAGGATTCCTGAAAATGATATGAAATAACTTGAAAATAATTATCTAGGAACAGGTCAATATGAACATATCAAAGCTTAAGTGTGGATAATATTGTTGATAGAGTCTATGCAACTATAGACTCACATAAACCCTGCTATGTGTTTACTTTGTTAACTTCCATATCTTGTAGAATGTTTGGCATAATGTATAGTTTATCATATTAACCTGTCATTTTAATTTGGTAATATTTGTTGAAGCTGTAGTCTTTTAATACTATCTGCATGTAGATCATGGATGTCTTTTTTGGGGGGGTTTGATGAAGTTATTAGGTTCTTTTTTTATTGCTGTCTATCCTTGATCTCTGTGATTCATTTGTGTACATTACTTGTTAAATAAACTTAAGGATTTGGTTTCATCATGATGGTGTTCAGCAGTTGTGGACCCTAAACAGTTTATGAAAGTTACACTGTTTTTCGAAAGGTTGATGATGAAGACATTTGCCTACAGCATTTGCAATCTTATTTGAAAGATCACTTTTGTACAATAAAGCAGAAAGGAATATTTACAGCTGTTATCATGTTGACAGATCACTCAACTCATATAGCCAAATGAAAAATAAATAGAAAAGGTGTCCATGGGACACAGATGATGTTTCCACTTGCATATAGTGTTATAAAGGGACATAACTAGAGAACTGTAAAAGTGACGGCACCCAAATTTGAACTAGATCTGTGTTTTATGGTAATAAGCATTGTGTATAAAGTTTCATAACATTTGGTTGAGGCAAACTAAAGTCAGAGCACGGAAACAAAAAAATCAGCAATTTTTTCATTTATAAAGAGGCATAATTCTAGAACAGTAAAAGTGACGCCACCCAAATTTGAATCTGTGTTTTCTGGTAATAAGCATTGTGTATAAGTTTTATAACATTTGGTTGAGGCAAATTAAAGTTAGAGAACGGAAAATAATTTTGGGGCGTACTTATGGACGTACATACAGACAGACAAAGGTAACACTTAATGCCCGTCTGCCGTGGTGGGGGCATAAAAATTGGATTTACATCATACCAGTTTTTATTTTGAACCGATTAGGAAAAAGCCCATCACAATAGTGAAACCCTGCACATTAAAAGTTATATAAACTTCAAGCAAGATGATCTCTATAAAGTTGCTTTTGAACACAAATTCAGGCACATACAAAATAAAAACAGACTGCAAAAAATGTGAAATGAAAATGGCAGACTATTCTCATGTATACCTTCCCAGTTCTCCATAAGCATATTTTGCATCTGTAGTTAATTCAATTGTCTGTCCAACTTTTGTTGTCATAACACCAAGATCCCATGCTAAAAATATATAAATATATTATTTTCTAATAAATCAGGGTTTTCATAAAATTGAATAATTAAATAAGTAACAGTGCTGAAATTAATATTTACAAACGACTCCTTCTTCAGATATATATTTATTCTCTCAATGTAGAATTATGGTTAATAAAGGCACTATCTGTAGAAAACCATTTATTCTAAAACTTTATTATTTCTGAATGTTTCACATCAATGATATGAATCTGTAATGAATGAATAAAAAGTATGTAAGGTATAAGATGTTCAAGTTATTGCTTAAAACCTTTCACGGATCATCTAGTTGAAGAACAGCTGAAGTGTTTTTTTTTTTATATATATATACATGTTCTGGTATTTCTCAATAATATAAGGTAATACCTTGTATAACATCCCCTTCACCAACAGGAAAACTCAGGTCTTCTAAAGTGTCAACAACAGTCCCATCTTCCAACTTGCCACTTGTGTTAATGGTCACTATATCTCCATGATAAGGCTTTATGTCTTCAACATCTTCTCCATCAAGTACCTGGGAACAAAAAAGTGATGTATAACTGTCAATATCAAATAATGTAATATATTAAATACTTCATAAAAACTTTTTGTTCACAATGTTCCAATGTGACATTCCTTTCTAATACTGGACAACTCATCTCAATAATTTTCTGTAATGCTCTTGTTTGTCACAAATTTTAAGTACCTTCTTTCTACAAATTTCTGAATTTATAGTAGTCCCTTATCATAAACCTTCACTTTTGTAAATCTACAAATGTAATAAAATGCTCTGCAGGGCGCAGCTTGATACGACCGCAGAGGTCGAACCCTGAACAGTTGGGGCAAGTATGGACACAACATTCAAGCTTGATACAGCTCTGAATTTGGATTGTGATTAAATATTTGACACAGCATAGGTTTCTGACACAAAATGAATGTGGTCTAAGAACTTAAAAATTTTAAATTGGACATTCACCTATTATGGTCAAATATCCAAAATCTAAATACATGGTTAGATTCAGCATATCAAAGAACCCCAAGAATTCAATTTTTGATGAAATCAAACAAAGTTTAATTTTGGACCCTTTTGACCTCAATGTGGACAAAGTTGATAACGGGGCCCAAAAATCAAAAATCTAAATACATGGTTAGATTCAGCATATCAAAGAACCCCATATATTCAATTTTTGTTGAAATCAAACAAAGTTTAATTTTGGACCCCGATTTGGACCAACTTGAAAACTGGGCCCATAATCAAAAATCTAAATACATGTTTAGATTCAGCATATCAAAGAACCCTAAAAATTCAATTTTTGTTAAAATCAAACTAAGTTTAATTTTGGACCCTTTGGACCTTAATGTAGACCAATTTGAAAACGGAACCAAAAATTAAGAATCTAAATACACAGTTAGATTCGGCATATCAAAGAACCCCAATAATTCAATTTTTGATGAAATCAAACAAAGTTAAATTTTGGACCCTTTGGACCTCAATGTGGACCAATTTAAAAACGGGGCCCAAAATCCAAAAACTTAATACACGGTTAGATTCAGCATATTAAAGAACCCCAAGAATTCAAGAATAAAACCCCATTGAAATTGATCAAGAAATAAGCAATTTATACGAAGTATCTTCTTTTGCACAATACTGTGCAATTGAATATTTCTTGCTATTGCGCAATACTGTACAATTGACAATTTCTTGCTATTGCGCAATATTGTGCTTTTGGATATTTCTTGCTATTGCGCAATACTGTGCAATTGAAGATTTCTTGCTATTGCGCAATACTGTGCAATTGAAGATTTCTTGCTATTGTGCAATGCAATTGAAAATTTCTTGCTATTGCACAATACTTATTATATAATAATTTACACATCCTGTTTGGTGTGTATCTCCTACCATATCATTATTATTTGCTTTTAAATATAAATCAGAAATAACCAACTTAAAATGGAAAATTTTAAAAGAAAAAAAAAATGAAAAAAAGAAAAAAAAAAATCCCCCCCCCCAAATTTTTTGAACCCCCTTATGATTCATCACCCCTAAACTCAATCCCAGCCTTCACTTTGTGGTATGGTACCTTGCAGTACAATTTCAGAGAGATCCATACACTTGAACACAAGTTATTGTCTGGAAACTAGAAAAATGCTTATTTTTGGCCCCTTTTTGGCCCCCAATTCCTAAACGTTTCGGGCAATTACCCCCAAACTCAATTCCAGCTTTCCCTTTGTGATATGGAACCTTGTAGTACAATTTCAGAAATATCCAAACACTTACACACAAGTTATTGTCATGAAACTAGAAATATGCTTGTTTTTTGCCCCTTTTTTGGCCCCTAATTCCTAAAATTTTGAGGCAATTACCCCCAAAATCAATTACAGCCTTCCCTTTGTGATATGGAACCTTGTGGTACAAAATGTACAATGTCAGAGAGATCCATACACTTACACACAAGTTATTGTCTGGAAGTTACAAAAATGCTTATTTTTGGCCCCTTTTTGGCCCCTAATTCCTTAACTGTTGGTACCATAACCCCCAAAATCAATCCCAACCTTCCTTTCGTGGTATTGAACCTTATGGTAAAATTTTATGGAGATCCATTCACTTAAACTAAAGTTAGAGTGCGAAAACCAATGTGTCTTCGGATGACGCCGGACGACGACGACGACGCCAACGTCATACCAATATACGACCAAAAAATTTTTAATTTTTGCGGTCGTATAAAAATGTAATAAAATGAATTTAAAGAAGTTTTTGTATGCAGGTTTATGTTGTTTTACCATAAATGTTTAAAAAACATTTTTAACATGTTTAAAATTAGACATTTTGTCAGAGTTTTATACACACTTGGAAAATAGGAGATAACCTCATATTCTATATGTTTCAGTTGTGAAAAAAGTGGTTAATATAAAATTTTGATTGATTGATTGTTGTTTAATGCCACTTTAAGCACTATTTTGCTATTTCGTGGCAGTCACTGAGTCAGTTTTTATTGGTGGAAGAAGCCGGAGTGCCCAAAGAGAACCACTGACCTTCGGTAGGAAAACTAACATTCCTAGTCAATAAAGTTTGGAGTCGAGTGCACCTGCCACTTGCTAATTCAAACTCTCAACCTCAGTGTTGACAGGCTAGTGATACAGTAGTTCGACTACTTAGACCCCTCGGCCACCAAGGCCACTTTTATACAGTCATACAGATGTGATTCATTGCTGGTCCACTTCCAATTTGTGGTTCTAAAGACTTGACAAACTTATTTTGTGGTTCTAATGACTTGACAAACTTATTTTGTGGTTCTAATGACTTGACAAACTTATTTTGTGGTTCTAATGACTTGACAAACTTATTTTGTGGTTCTAAAGACTTGACAAACTTATTTTGTGATTCTAATGACTTGACAAACTTAGTTTGTGGTTCTAATGACTTGACAAACTTATTTTGTGGTTCTAATGACTTGCCAAACTTATTTTGTGGTTCTAATGACTTGACAAACTTATTTTGTGGTTCTAAAGACTTGACAAACTTATTTTGTGATTCTAATGACGTGACAAACTTATTTTGTGGTTCTAATGACATGACACTTATTTTGTGGTTCTAAAGACTTGACAAACTTATTTTGTGGTTCTAATGACTTGACAAACTTATTTTGTGGTTCTAATGACATGACACTTATTTTGTGGTTCTAAAGACTTGACAAACTTATTTTGTGGTTCTAAAGACTTGACAAACTTATTTTGTGGTTCTAATGACTTGACAAACTTATTTTGTGGTTCTAATGACGCGACAAACTTATTTTGTGGTTCTAATGACGTGACAAACTTATTTTGTGGTTCTAATGACGTGACAAACTTATTTTGTGGTTCTAATGACGTGACAAACTTATTTTGTGGTACGAATGACTTGACAAACTTATTTTGTGGTTCTAATGACTTGACAAACTTATTTTTCTGAGAATGTTTTGATGTATGCTCTCAAGTAACAAGTACTGGACATACTGGAAGTGAACGAAAAGACTTCATACAAAGTTGTTTCTTTACAACCAATCTGTGAAGTCAATGCTTTCACAAATTTTTTATAAAGAAATAAATTGTTTATGTCTTTGAATTTCATTAACTACTTATAAATGATAAATTGCTGATAAAGAAAGCGACTATTGTGAACACCCAGGTGACTAGATATTGCTTTTGACAGTCTAGGAAATGGAAGTGACGGACAGGAACTCGACTTCTTCGCCTCAGTCACCCGTTAGCATAAGCCCTGAAAGTGAGCTAAATTCAACATAGTTGTAGTGGCTTCATGCTTTTTATATAATGTAAGTTTAAGCATTAAATGAATCTTTACCTTTTGCCTTAATAAACCATTCCCTAGTAAGTCTAAGTAACCATCTTCATCCTCATCCTTCTTTTTTTCTTTTGTTTTATCTTTTACATCATTTTCCTTGATGTTATCTGGATTTGGTTGAATTGCTTCTCTTTCCTCTTCGACTGAACTTGATTCTTCTTTAACTACTTCTGATTGTTCTGAATTTTGTTCATTTGCTTTTTCCTCTGAAGAATTTTCATTTATTTCACTATTTGAACTAGCTGAATCTTTATCCTGAGTTTCTGACGATTCGTTCATTTGTTCTCTCTCATATTGTTCATCAAACTTACATACCTCTGTGACATATGTAGCTATATTTTTAGAAAAATCTTTCACTATTCCATCTGATATGTCATTAGCAATGTCTTCTACGATTTCATTAGGCACACTTTTACTCTGAATGGTGTCAGTTTTATCTCGACTAGAATTTATAGAATCACTATTATTTGTTTGTTCTGATATATTAACACTATCTGTTATTGCCCCTGTTTTAATGTTTGTGTCCCCTGTTTTATCTGGAATGCCATTGACCTTTTGATTAGACACATTGTCTTGACTGTCACTTGCAGTTATACATTCATTTGAATTCAATTTTGCTAGCTGTTGTTTTCTTTGCTCCTCCGTGATGGCATTAGTATTTTGGTCACTATCAGACACTAAAATCATATAAATATTAAAAAATCAAATACACATATCAGTCAATCAAGTCCAGGTACTTTAGAATAATTCTTACATGATTTGCATATCTACAAATACTTGAATTTGATTGGTCCATTAGAATTTTTCCCTTGGTTTACACTTCGATAAACCATGTTGCCGAAACTACTTTCACTGATCAATTCATGCGCTATACACATGCATGAGATCCAGGGGTACTGAGCAAATTGAGATTGAAAAACAAATTACATAATTTTTTTAAGCATAGAAAAAAGAAATATTGCATTCAAGCTTAGAAAATGTCTGAAATTTAAATAAATTAAAATTCCGTTAAATATCATGAATGATCTTACCGCATTAAAGTCATGGTAAAACATGACGTCATACGAATGAAAACTCTCAATCTGAAGATTATTACGTTACTTGTACGCTTCAAATTCGGATAATATCTCATTAAAAGGACATATTTGAGGTATGTGTCAGATGTTTCATTTTAGATTCTATTGCATTAATCGCACATTTATGGATTTCAGTAAGTCAGTATGGCGGCTAACTCCGTATTTACGACATGTCCATTGTGCATTTGATGATAAAAAGAAGCCAACGAATACAAAAATCTTAATTAAAAATTGCGAATGTTTTGCTAAGAATAATAAGGATTAAACACATTTTTTTTCTAGAGGTTTAATTGATGTGTAAACTGGGGCGATTAACTCACAAACTGAATAAAAGTCCTTTTTTATTCAGTTTGTGAGTTAATCACCCCGGTTTACACATCAATAACCTCTAGAAAAAAATGTGTTTAATCCTATAATGTTGCAAGTGTCTCATCATTAATTTTGATCAATTAATTCACCAAAAGCATCAGTAATTTACATTGTGATTAAGAATGGTGGAAAAAATAGTTCTTTGAAATAGACAACAATGTATTTACAATGTAGATAAATTCTTTTTAACTCAGTGGATGTCTTATGTCATATCTTTGACCTAATTTCCTAATGTATGTAGAGTAAGACTTTGGTTGGCTTGCTTGTTTTGTTTGTATAAACATTTGATCAAGCATCGTAATTTAAGATTGACATCTGCAAACAATATAATAAGGCGGAGTTAAATATAGATTCTACCACTGCATCGAGTGTGATACGATATTTATCCACTCGAGACAGTTAAATTTTCAAATTTAAAACGTGTTGCTCGCCGAGCGTTTTAAATATTTAAAATTTAACTGTCGAGAGTGGATAAATATCGTATTACATGAGATTTGGTGGTGGAATCTGTTTCTCTAATGATTATCAAACAATACGCAGGAAAATTTTTTCCTTCTTTTCGAATGATCTGCAAAAAGATGTGTTCTTTCTATGTGACGTCATCAGGCATGGTCGCCTTTTTTCATGCCGTCACAATAGGAAATTCAGAGGAAAGCAAGAAAATTCGACGTCATAATCGGATTTTAACCAATGAAGAACTGAGATCAAACGAACCACACGTTGATTAAATTTTTTTATACAATGGGTGCAGAAAAGGATAAATTGACGAAGAATTAGAGAAACCTGTATACATTATATTTAGATTCCTAACCTCCAGGATAACATCCAATCAAATTTCAGTATAATATGTTTTTGTTACTTGGAAAATTTGGTGTAGATGGTTGATCTTTATTTATTTCTAGGCTCCTGGCAATTTGGAGCTTGTCATAAAATATTGTAAAAGACACCTGTCTATTATTGAAGATTATATGTTGGGTTGCTGTCTTATTGATGTTTACTCTCTATCCTTTTTTAGTAATATAATAAAAATTCAAAGAAACTGTAGTATCAAAAAGAAAAGGACTGCTTGTCTAGCAGATCATTAATTTGCTTTAACCGTACAACTTCATATCATACAATACAATACTTTTATTCAAAAAATTCAGGACCCACTAAAGGCATGATTAAAAACATGACAGTATATATGTAATATGCAGAGAGAAAAAATACATTTCAATTTTCCAAAACATTTGTGATAAAAAACTTTTGCTATCTACCTTGAACAAAAAAAAAAAATAGCAAATTTTTTTAACATCTGGGGCAAGTTGGTGAATTTCCTGCAAAGATCAGGTCAGATATATAACATACATGTACATGTATGATAGTTGAAACATTGAATTTCAATAACTTTCTGATATTTATCTTGACTTCAAAGAAAATAAGAAGACTGAACAATTTGCAATTTACAGCATGTACATTTGTAGATCTGTCTTACAACCAAAATCAAAAGATGTAAATTTTATCATCACAAATTTTGGAAACACCTGATTTTGATACTCCCACATAAGGAGGAGATTTGGAGTTATTGATAATCCAGAAAGGGAGTATTAATTTTTTTCACTGTCACTGTACAAATGCTGTATGGTTTGACTTGTAAATACTAAGTACAACTTAAACACTAGAAACAGAAAGGAGATAACATGTGCACTAAGCCAGATATACGTGTAACTGTATAATATGGTAATTGATTTGTGTAATTATTGATTTTCATTTTTCATGGCTTACTATATTACAAAATATATAAAATAAAATATTTGAAAGATAATTTCCATATGATCAAAATAATTATTTTAATGTCTGTGAGGATGATTAAAATGTACCCAGGGAAAACAAACACTATGGTATTGACTGACAAGTCCAAATAATCCATTGATTACACCTAATAATATGACAAAAGAGGTGCTGTTTTCACTATATGTGTGAAATATATTTATGACAGGTGCATAGTATACAGTAAAGAGTTGTTAATGATCATGAACTAGTTAGGTATCTAGCTCCCCTTGGTTTCTCTGATCATTTCATTCATCACAATAAGAACTATGCTTATAAATGGTTAAATCAGTGTTTTTTAACTTATAACCTGTATAATATTTAGGTTAATGATGTCTTTTATTTCTTTTTCTATTTAATATATCTGGGTTGCAGTCATACTCTACAAAATCTTCAATGCATTACATAAACAACAGCTTAAGGCGAATCTAATATCAAATATGATGAAACATAAAAAATTTCATAAATGTTTCAAGATCTCTATTGTAAACAAAAATAAGAAAACCAACCTGTCATGTGTGAATCTTAAATAAAAGTCTCAAGCTTGTTTGATTTTGTGGTTTTCATGTGATTTTACTGATGATCAGCTAATGCCAGCTGCAATAAACACACATAGGAATAAATGCCCCAAATTAACCAACTTATATGAGGGTCAAGACTGAATCCTTATAATTAGATTTTTAAGCTGAAAAAAGCAAACCAACTTTTATCATGTTATATGTGGACGAATATCTACTCAATATAAAAATAAGAAGATGTGCTATAATTGCCAATGATAACTCTCAACTAGGAACCAAATGACATAGAAGTTAACAACTATAGGTCACCTTACAGCCTTCAACAATGAGCAAAACCCATACCGCATAGTCAGCTTTAAAAGGACCCTGAAATGACAAATGTGAAACAATTCAAACAGTTAAACTAACGACCTGATTTATGTACAAAACAATGAACGAAAAACAAATATGATATACAGCAAAACCACTGAAATACAGGCTCCTGACTCAGGACAGACACATACAGAATGTGGCGGGTTTGAACTTGCTTGTTGGCGTCAAACCCACCTCCTAACCTGGGACAGTGGTGTAATAGTACAACATAAGAAAGGACAAACTAAAATAAAATGCTCCGCTGGGCGCAGCTTGATACGACCGCAGAGGTCGAACCCTGAACAGTTGGGGCAAGTATGGACACAACAATCAAGCTTGATACAGCTCTGAATTTGGATTGTGATTAAATATTTGACACAGCATAGGTTTCTGACACAGAATAAATGTGGTCTAAGAACTTTAATTTTTTTAATTTACCTATTATGGTCCAATATCCAAAATCTAAATACATGGTAAGATTCAGCATATCAAAGAATCCAAAGAATTCAATTTTTGATGAAATCAAACAAAGTTTAATTTTGGACCCTTTTGACCTCAATGTGGACCAATTTGATAATGGGGCCGAAAAATCAAAATACATGGTTAGATTCAGCATATCAAAGAACCCCATATATTCAATTTTTGTTGAAATCAAACAAAGTTTAATTTTGGACCCCCAATTTGGACCAACTTGAAAACTGGGCCCATAAACAAAAATCGTAAAGACATGTTTAGATTCAGCATATCAAAGAACCCAAAGAATTCAATTTTTGTTAAAATCAAACTAAGTTTAATTTTGGACCCTTTGGACCTTAATGTAGACCAATTTTAACAAGAGTGCACACGCTGAAATGTCTCGCCTTCTTTACTAATCATTGATATTATGTTGATAGTCCTAAATATAAAGCTTTATTACTGTCACATAAACTTAACATTAACCAAGTAAACTAAACATTGACCAATGAACCATGAAAATGAGATCAAGGTCAGATGAACCATGCTAGGCAGGCATGTACAGCTAACAATTCTTCCATACAACAAATATAGTTGACCTATTGCTTATAGTTTAAGAAAAACAGACGAAAACACAAAAACTTAACACTGAGCAATGAACCTTGAAAATGAGGTCAAGGTCAAATAAAACCTGCATGACTGACATATAGATCATAAAATATTTCCATACACCAAATATAGTTGAACTTTTGCATATAGTATTAGAAAAAAAGACCAAAACTCAAAAACTTAACTTTGACCACTGAACCATGAAAATGAGGTCAAGGTAAGATGACACCTGCCAGCTAGACATGTACACCTTACAATCATTCCATACACCAAATATAGCTGACCTATTGCATGCAGTATTAGAAAGAAAGACCAAAACTCAATAAAATGCTCCGCAGGGCGCAGCTTGATACGACCGCAGAGGTCGAACCCTGAACAGTTGGGGGAAGTATGGACACAACATTCAAGCTTGATACAGCTTTGGATTTGGATTGTGATTAAATATTTGACACAGCATAGGTTTCTAACACAGATTGAATGTGGTCTAAGAAC